CAACTCAGTATAGTCTGGTATTTTAGGCAGTTTGAAAAACAGGAAACTGTTGGTAACTGTCACTAGCAGACAAATCTCTATCCCTCTACCAATCTACTCCCAGTTCACAATACATGTACATGTATGCACATACATGTACACACCAGACTGGACAAAACAGTTGGAAAATGATTGACTAAACCATACACTTTTTTCTTCAGAAGTTCAGTGACCTCCAGAAAATTGAGTTTGATGGGGGATTTCCCTTGGAATAGTAGAGCTCAAGAAGAGGAGGAACTATTGGTACAACATCATCTTATTGACTGACAGTCAAAGTACTCCATCACCAACTCTTTTAATGCTTGCAGAGTGCAGACTAAAACATCCAGTGAAAACAGATAGCTATGGCCCCTGTAAACAACACCACAACCTAGCGACAATTTTCTATTAAACTATTAAATGGTATTCATGATTAGATCCCACAAGAGCACATCGAAACAGGATACTGTTTACGCACCTCCCTGCAGGCTGCAGAGTCAGACAAGTTCGTTATGTGATCTTTGAGTGAGTTGTAGGAGGAGCAATGATGAATTTTTAAAAACTAATTCTCCAAGATTTCAATGATTAAAATAAGAATTTTTTAACCATCTGAAGAAGATGACGTAGATCGGAAGTTGGATGTTTTTAATTACCAGTAAAGGTGTTTAAGCTACACAAACTATGTCTTTGTGTGTAAAGAAGTTGGTGCACTTTTCCATGTGACTGCATAGAAGTTGGCTGTGAGTTCACTTCCATGGTGCCCTTGATATTCTGCATGGAGCCAGAAGGGCATTAACTCCTACACTTTAACAGAGACTTAACACCCTTCTGGCTCTCAACAGATGATACTTAAAATCATTTTCCCAGTTACATGTATGCCCATTAATCCTTTTTAACTGCTTGATAGTATCATGAACTTTGGGATGATTTTGTTTCTTAACACTGTAGTACCGGTATATACCAGTTACTTCTATATACATGTGATTTGTTCCATAAAATAAGAAAATATCCAGTCATTCAATATACTCACACTTGACAATAGTAAAGAAAGCAGTCACTTCAATCTTGCTGCTTTATTTACATGCACTGACTTCACTCTGAATATCTGAAGCTGTAAGTCGAAGAACGGCAATATTGAGCTTTAAAACTTTAAAAAACTTTAAAGGACAGAGTTTAAGCCTTGAGCAGAGAGTAGCAGTGTTAACCTTATTAGCACTTCCAACATTCACACAGACAGTTTTGAGCAGGGTGGTTAACTTATAACCAAAAACTTCCTCATGCTATGACGTCAATCCAACACTGCTTCATAAATAGGAAGCCCCTCTGTATGACATCATGATACGTTTTGAAAAATGACATCATTTAACAAAGTCTATTCGAGTCATCGCCACTGATTACGTCAAAGTATGATGACGTCAAAAAGAAGTACATCCTGTCTGCTAACCAGGCTTCCCTCATGACATCATCTTGAAACAGAGTGCCTAATTTGGACATTCTCGTACCATATCTGTGTTAGGCTGCCCTCTACAGAAATTACACAGAAAATAGAGAGCAAGTTCTTTAAAGTTTGATGACGTCAAAGACGAGCACATCCTGCTAACTATTGCTTCCCTCATGACATCATAAGTATAGAGTACCAAAGTGTGACGTCATATTAGCCAAGATGCCAAGGATGCTGGTTCCAAACCATTTTGTGCTAAACATTGAATTTGCCCTCTACAGGAATTAAACAGAAAATATAGAGCAAGTCCTCCCAATTCCAAAAATATAAAGTGGTTCAGTCATGTTCAGGCTAGCTCAGTACATGAAGCTGAGCTTTGTACTATATACTGTTTGATTTTCAAATATTTTACTTGACATGAAAGTACACCTTTACATGTACATGTATGTACAATGTACACTGTATATACATTGCAGTTTTAATGACTTTCTCATTTTATGTTGCTTGTACAATGTATGTACACATACAGTGTATATAAAAATAGTAGTTTGGCCTCATATTGAAGCGTTTTATGGATCCTTTCCAGGTAGAAACTACAAGTACAGTACATGTACTGTATTTGCATTTTACCAACACTCAGATAGAAACCTATAAAACAAAAATTAAGTAGATCAGGAAATTTTCCATTCAAGAACAGTTCTTCTCACAGCCATTTCCAAAAGTGAAATATCAATTGTGTAATTGTACACTGAAGAAAATTGATCAAGAAATTGTGAATACATAAATTCCAAGGAGAATTTATGACTTTTTAAATGGTAAATACAAATATGCTTTAAAACTAGTTCAACAAAATCTAATTACCATCTTTCTTCTTTTTTGGAGGAGAAGAAATAGTTCACTAAGGATTTCCTTTATTTGGTCATCATGCTTTTGTTTACGTACATGTACATACATTGTACAATGTGGATTATTCACATCCCCCACACAATAAATTTAGCACAAACCATGGGCACATCTTATGCATTAATAGATTTCATTGTCATTGTGAAGATCAATGTCTCCCTCTAGGTGTAGCTCTCATACATGTACATCTCTCATAACTGGTTTAACTAATATTCCTGTTCCAACGTCTAATGAGATAGCCATACATGTACATGCACACACACAGGTGGCAATTCAATACACAAAGATTGACATCATAATTATACTGTATCAACATTCAACACTGACACGTACTGCAATGACAAGGGCACCATTCAAATTTTCATACCAATGAGTACCGGTAATCACTTCCAGATTTTCTTTTAAATGAGTTTTGTGTTTTAATAAAACCCATTATGTTCAATAGGCCACTGCGGATGTAAAATCCTAAGGGTGACCTTTTATAACTTTCCATGAGCAGGAATTTCAAGATAAAATTATCAGTTAAAACAAAGCAAGTTACAGAGTATACGAGAATACACCTGGCGGTGGCCTGTATTTATATCAAAGAAGAAGAAGAACAAGAAAATTGATAAAAATGTTGTCTGATTGAAATTGCTAGATAATAATCTACTGTACAAACAAAATAGATTAGATCAAATGTAGATCTAAAATGATTTGGAAAATCAAGTCAGTAAATGAGTATGAAGTTACATGTACTGTATGAACCTTAATAAAGCCAAAGCCAATATCAAGGATTGCAAAGTCTGTGATGCCGCTCACTGTAACGTTAGATCTACAATGAAAATCAAAATAAAGGCTTAAACTTGTAGCAGAAAAAAAATTGTGTCCAAAAAAACAGTCACTATATTTGTAGATCTACAAGACCTCATAAGTAATATACAGTAGATCTAAACAAAACAAGTAAAAGTAAATAAATATAATAGTACTTTGTTACAACAACATTACTAATTATGACTCTAGTAAGTACGGTATTGGTGGTGTGACAATGAGTGTGATGTGCGACCATAGTTTGAGCTTGACCTTGCTTCGCTCTCTCACAAAATCTGAAACCATCATTGGAAAGAGATACCTAACAATAATATTACCTAGCGACAAAATGTTCTAAGGAATCGGGTGTGAAATTATGAAAATATGGTGAATTTTGCAGTCTTTTGCGTCCGTCCCGAAAAAAATATGAACCTACCGACAAGGGTCTGGAAATCTTTTTGAGAGCAGATGTCATGAAAAAAGTGGTACCAACTCATTGTATAGTTCGCCTTGCAAAATATGCAATTATCTTAAAGGTAAAGACCAGTATTGGAAACGCCCCAATTTCAAAAAATGAAATGGAAGTTCTTATTACCATTTACCAATCATGTGAAAGAATATGTTTTGACTAATACATGACGATAAAATTTTGCCGGGAAACCACCAACTAATTGATATATTTGGTAAATTAGTTTATTTATTGGGATGTGAGAGATAATCGGCGTGTCCCATATTCTGTGTACAGTGCTTGTAACTTTCCGAAGACTGAGCCAAATTTCTTATCATTTTGATGATTCCAGAACCTTGCAGTACAGACCAATACTTATATGCTACATGTAGATGATCAACCTTTTCTGATCGATTCCACAACGTTTCTTTCACAATGCAATCGCATGACCATAACTGGGGCGGGTTCCTAGAAACCGTCATAAGTCTAACTTCTTGACTATCCCATTGAAACGCGTGTTAATTCTATAACACACGTTTCAATGGGATAGTCAAGAAGTTAGACTTATGACGGTTTCTAGGAACGGGCCCCTGGTCTTTATCTTCAAGTCTTAAATATATCACTTTGTGTGATAAATCAGATGTAAACTTCAGTGTGCGAAACGCCGTGAATCAAGGTCTTCTTTTTTTCATGAATTTTTCTAAAAATGCAGCGCATTCTGATCTGACATCAAATTTTGAGATCGCGATATCTTCGAAATTTCTTTGAAGATAAATTTTCTATTTGCACCGATTTGTAATAAAAACCTTGCACTTGCAGTCAATTTGGTAATATACTAATAATTGAACTAAATTTTGTGTAGAATATGAGAAATCATGGATCAAATATCACATTTCCTAATAGGGTCTACTTAAAGTACGAGTAGATCTAGGTCTAGACTAGACCTAATATCTTTAAAAATATCTGTGAACTTTTGTCACCCAATGCCAATCATACACCATCATTTTTACTGTCACTGTCCATAGACTAGATCTAAATAGACTAATATTAATAAAATAATAGAATCTAATTTGATTTCTCCATAAATGGCAATAGTCTACGTCAGATATAGCAAAACTAGTACATCATGGGCAATGTGGAAAAGCTAATTTATGACTAGCCCTAGCCCTAGACCTTTGGCTACAAATCTACTCTCTTAAAGTACTAAACGTATAGCCTGCCAGCACGGCCAGCTGCCATGTCATGAGCATGACCACAACTGTGGCCTGCGCTGGCCTAATCGGTTGGCCTGGCTCCAGCTCCAGCTCGCTGTTTGATCCGCTGCGCTTACCATTCATTCATCAGGTTGATGCAAACGGAAACTCACTTTCAGGTTTCACACACACTGATCGAGGTACCTACCTTTTTAAGGAACTAATGATGCTGATCTGGCGGTCAGGTTGTCGTCAAAATTGGGGTTTTTCAAGCTCGAATACTGTATACGTATTTAAAATATCAGACGTTAGTGCCTCGTAAATGAAAAAGGGTAATTTGATTAATTCCTTGGATTCAGAGAAACTCCAAATGGGCGGTCCAACAAACATTTGCTGCAATGTATCTGGCGCATGAGGGCGACAAATCATTTTAACAGCGGCGCCGAAAACGAATCTACACAGATATTATATATGCAGTGATGTTGTTGCTAACACGCGGAACTAGCCCGTTCCGATCCCCCGTCGCGCCCCGGGCCCCTAGCTTGCGATTCCCGTTAGTTCCCACACAGCGCACAGCTCGGTTCTTCGCCAGGCCAAGCTAATTTGGAGGAATTCAACAAGAAGAAGAATTGAAGAAGAAGTTCATTTTCATCTCATTTTCAACACAAGACAACAGATCTTTGTAAGCGGTGAGTAGATCTATGATTATGAGTGTGATTGTGATGATGCATTTCTTTTTTATTATTATCAGATTAGGGTCTAGATCTAGATCTAGTCTAGATCTAGGCCTAGCCTATTCCTTTTTTCACTACTACTACTAGTACTAGGGTAGGGCCCACACATAGGAGCATCACTATCCTGGCTGTGTAGTATTACTAGTAAAAGCTATGCTTTTGATTCTCAACATTTCAAACACCACTGTACAAAACTCAACTAATTTCACTCAAAATCGGTACTTTATTGACAATTGATGACACCTAGACCTGTAATTGTAAATAAAAAATAGCAGTAAAATACATTTTTTTCAACTTACTGATGTTAAAAAGAATAACTTAAAAATTAAAATTGTAAGTCTAGACTCTAGTGTCAAATTTTGCTTACAGCTGCATCGACATGATTGTGTATGGCGGTGTGACCAAAGTTCGCGCGTGACCAAAGTTCGCTTTCTCAAAAAATCGGTAAGATTTCGAAAATCTGATATCACCAATGGAAAGAGGGTCATAAAATTACCCTGAAACGAAATTTTCTTTAGAATTGGGTGCGAAATTGTGAAAATATTGACAAAAGATCGGCAAATTTTGCAGTTATTTTCGTCCGTTCCGAAAAATTATCAACTTACCCAGCATGAACTTACCGATAAGGGTCTGGAAATCTTCATTTTGAGATCAGAAATCCTAAAAATTGTAAGTAAAGAGTGGTACTAACTGATTGTACGATATCTTGCCTTGCAAATTATGATATTACCTTATTTTTGATGGATCGCATTTTTTGATAAATCAACTGTAAACCACCGTGCGTGAAGTTAGGTCTCATTGTTTTTATGACTTTTTTAGATGCAGCGCGCACGCACGATCGGACATCGAATTTTTAGATCGCGATATCTCCGAAATCCTTCGACGGTAAATTTTTCTAGTTGAACCAATCTGTAGTAAAAAAACTTTGCTGTCCATTTGGTAATAATTGAAATAAATAAACTTGTGTAGAATGTGAGAAATCATAGATCGAATATCACATTTTGTAAGCTGTTCTAAAATGTCCGCGAACTTTGGTCACCCCTTCATACAGTCTATGCAGTTTTGTGTGGTGTGTATATTTGTGTATAGACTTCTAGGTCCCTGCCTCACAGCATAGATGCAGTGCTAAAGGTCAATACGGACAGCTTTGACTCTCTATGCTTTGCTGGAGTGGGTATGGCCTAGGCCCTAGGGCTAGGCCTAGAGTCTACCCAATTTAAAAAACCTGTAGAGATGAGACCCGAAAGACCCTGGTCTAAGTTTGGGGCCATTAGCCTAGGCCATAAGGCATAGACGGGCAGTTAACCAATACCATACATGTATGTCACCTTGTCAGCATCGGCCATAATATTTATAGTTCTTCTTCTTCCAGTAGTCTATAGCACTCCAGCAAAGCACAGAGAGTCAATGCCAATGCGTATTGACCTCTAGCACTGCATACATGCTGTGAGGCAGGGACCTAGAAGTCTATACACATGTAAGAGTTAACATTAGACTCATTCCCTACTTTTATTTGTCACGATTACTATTTGTTTCTCTAGTCTCTTCTTCCCATACATATCCATTTCACATCATTTGCATTTTATCTATTCATCTCCACCATTCATCTCAACCATTCATCTCCACCATTCATCTCCACCACATACCAACTCTTCAAGCTAGAACAGGTGGTATGTTCTCTTCTCATTTGCATATTTCCACTTCTTACTTATCATTGGTTCTCTTCTCCTTGTTCTTATAAATATTCAGTTTTATCCTTACATTCTATTGTGCTATATTTGAATATAATTTGCATGGAGGCACATGTACAGCCTGGGTTAAATAAAACTGAGACAGAGCTGGACAGGACTTATACTGGGTCAGACGTGTTATTTTTAGAGCTCTGTGGGCATGAGGTAGGAGAGATTTTATAGTACTAGTAGGAGAGAGGACTTGTGAGTTGGGCAGTGATTTGGAAGATTGGTGTATGATTGATTGGCAAGAGGTTATTTTATTAGTTTACACTGGTGGCAGCGGTGTTTCTGTGTTCTACCCAGGAATTTTGATTCACCTTCGCCATCTTTGATTTTCTTGCTGCACACCCTTGCACTTGTTTCACTGCCTCTTTGCTTTCGCCCTTCATCTGTATTCCCCTCGGTCTACTAGGTGTGAATTTGCAAGCTTCATTTCGTCCTTCTTCACCTCTCCTTCGTAGTCAGCATAGTTACATGTACATATCAGTTTAACTGTATCGCCCTTCATTCTTTGGTGAGTGAGTTCTGCTGTTGTGATATTTTTTAGCTATTTCTGACTACTGTCTCCCTTCAAGTTCGAGTTCGACATTGCTGTTTTTTTATGGTGTGATTGTTGTGTTCGATAGGTACAGTACAGTACAGCTGTATTACATCGGTTGTTGAGTTAGCTCTGCTGAGTGCTGTTCATTGTTACTACCTGCTACTTCCTGGTGGTTTCCCTCCATCGTTGTAGGTCTGTCAGTTTATACCCTGTTTTGCCCTACGTCAATTGGTAGATTGTATTTGTGCTGTTTCTACTGCAATTTGCTGTGATAGTCCCCTCCTTCATTTTCAGCTACGGTAGTTCAGTTGTGTGAACGGATTTTGCTGTTGTTGTTTTTTTCCCCAGTGCGAGATACCCGAGCTAGTACTGTATTACCCTCCTTCATTTTTTTGTTTCGCCTGTTTTCATGTTACTTGCTTCGCAATGTTCCGCATTGAATTGCCCGAACTTTTTACTGGGGAGGATGGGAAAGACTTTGGCCAATGGGTCAAAAGGTTTGAGATAGCTGCTGCAGCGGATTCCAGTGTTGCGGACAAGCTGCATATTCTATTGCCGTCCCGATTATCCGGCTCAGCCTTCACGGTTTGGGAGAGTCTCCCCCCTAGTGAGCAGAAGGATTTTCAGTCAATGAAGACGAAGCTGTGTGCGGTATTTGGTCGGTCGGATTATCTGGCATCTTTTCAGACATGTATTAATGCTAGACCGAGAAAGCCAGAGGAGCCAATTGCAGTGTATGCTGCTGCCATCACGACATTGGTGGAGGAGGCATTCCCTTCTTATGGCAGCTCTGCCAAGGAAGGAGAGAAGTTTAGGAGGTTTGTCGCGGGCTTAAGTCCTTTTCTTCAAGTTCGCGTTCACGAGTTAGGGGCCAAGGCATTTCAGGAAGCAGTTGACATTGCTATACGGGTTGAAAGAGCTCATGTCATGGGGCAGACCACCCAAGCTTTGACTTCGCCAGCTACGGTTGCCGCTGTTCAGGGGTCAGATGTGCTGGAGCGCATCCTTCTTCGACTGGACGAAATGGAGAAGACATTTAAAACCATCCATCTTCATCCTTCTCCCTCTCGCTCTCGTTCACCTACCTCAGACCAGCGATACGATGGATGGCGAAACCCTTCTTCTCGACATCGTTCACCTACCCCAGAACGTCGACAAGACACATGGCAAAACCCTTCTTCTCGACATAGTTCACCTACCCCTGAACGTCGACAGGACACATGGCAACACCCTTCTTCTCGACATCGCTCACCTACCCCAGAACGTCGACAAGATACATGGCAACGCCCTTCTTCTCGACATCGTTCACCTACCCCAGAACGTAGACGAGATACATGGCGCAATCATTCACCACATCGTCCTCGTCCTGATTCGCCAAGTCCGGACTACAGGCACGATATGTCGCAACGCTATGCTGACGGTTACCGCCGGCGATCGCCAAGCCCAGACAGGAGGTCCCATTACCCCGCAGGAGTCGATAATTCACGGTCTGATTCTCCCTCCTTCCCCAGCTCCTATGATCCTCGCAGAGTACATTTCTCCCAGGATCAGGAAAACCGCTACTAGTTGGTGACAAGGGGCGACCACCAACTTCTCCACCTCCACCTGCTCCAATTAATGTGCAAGGCCGAGTTCAACCCAAGACTGAGATTCTTCCTTACATCCCGGTCATCGTGGAGTCCAATTACACCATGGCCTGCCTTGATACCGGTTCTTTCATTTCACTCATCAGCCATCAACTTTGGTCTGATATACCCAATACTCAACGAGGACCTATTCAGACTATCCTCTACGCAGCGACTTCTGTAACAAGAGAGAGCATTGACATAGTGGGACTTGCATCACTCTCCCTCCATCTTGGCAACAGAAGCGTTCAGCATCAATTCCATGTGGCAAGAAATGTAAGTCACTCACTCATCATAGGTTGGGATTTCTTTTGGCAACATCAGGCTTCTATATCATCAGTGACAGCAACTTTTGACATGCCTGGAACGTCAATTCCATTGGTAGACAAGGCAGCTGCAACCCCACTACGATGCAATGCATTACTAGTTGACAGTGTAACCATTCCACCGATGTGTGAGATTAATGTTCAAGCTCGAATATTTTCTCAACATGGTTTTACTCCCGATGGTTACGAAGGACTGTTTGAGCCCCAACTTCGAGAGCATCTTTCTGCTGCTGCTGCGAGGTCCTTATGTACTGTTCAGAATGGACATATCATGGTCTGTCTCATTAATCCATCAGGAGACAGTGTTCAACTCCCAGCGGATTCACATTTGGGCCAATTTCATTCTGTGACAGGCAAGCACCAAGAAGAATACCAACTGATTGAACCAGTAGTGGCTTCAGCATCCAGTGCTCCATACAAGGTCACTGACCTTCTCCCTTCTTCTGATCTTAC